GGAGAGGATGTAGGACTCGGGAGCTATAATAGGTTTGGTAACCAGGCTAGGGCTATCTATTGACATACGACAAAATTCTTTCTCCTCCACTAGCCATGAAATATAATTTAATGATAGGATTACAACTTTTCTATCAGTATCATTACTTAGGCCACACCGACTTATAATTAACTTTATGGATGACATCCTCTAAAGACCCAAAAACTAGTGCGCACGGGCGAATAAAAAAGAAAAATTCCGGCCAAAAATAAAAATACTACTAAACCTGCTACTACTAAAGCTGGTTTTGTGAATTTGCAGCAGTACTTCGCAACGTATACGTCAAGCCGGCACATGCTGGCTTTTTGCGGAATTTATGATTGCACTGAGGTCTTGAGTCGTGGAGTTTCGGTAGCCTGGGTGCCCGGCTCCGTATTATCGCTAACTACCATGGACTACCCAGGCCTAGAGCCAGGCCAGAGCCTCGGTCGGTGGACATGATATTTTCTTTTGGAGAACAGGCGAAAATTAATGTGCACGCGGATGTCATTCATAAAATTAAGTCGGTGTGGCCATACAGGGTCAGAGTTCATGTTGATAACAGTTATATATTTTTTTGTGTCAGCAATGTCTCCATCCTACATAAAGAATACGTCCAGGGGCCAAGGCAGGTAAATTCTATGGATGATATGTCCACACGTGCATTGCTTTTCGCCTGGCTAAAAAAAAAAAGATCACGTCCTCCAAGGCTCTGGCCTGGCTCTAGACCTAGGTAGTCCATGTTAGTTAGCGACATTACGGAGTCGGTGGTAACCCTGGAGGATGGCAACCAGGCTGCCAAAGCTCCACGACTCAAGAAAGAACTCAGTACATACGTACAGTGCCGATTCATGAATTCCGCAAAAAGCCAGCATGTGCCGGTTTGTCGTATACGTCGCTATGTACTGCCGCAAATTCACAATACCAGCTTTGTATTCCTGTTGTTTAGTAGCATTTTTATTTCTGGCCGGATTTTTTTTATTCGCCCGCGCGCACTAATTTGGGGATGTACAGAGAATGTCATCCATAAAATTAAGGTGTGGCCTAAATAGATGAAACTAACAAATAAGTAAAACAAATAGCTAAAACAAGTATTTGGACGGAAAAAAACTCTGACACCTTGCAATTGTATGTGAACATAGCGATATTATCAAGTATCGGTAATTCGATATAGCTTCATAAACGTCCGTCTGTAAACGTGGTACTGAAAGCGCCACCTCCCGACGCGTCCCGTACTGCAGTGCACAACAACACACCTGTTGCACAATAGAAACGTCATCATCACGTGACCAACGCGGAAGTTGGGTCATTTTGGCGGAGAGGGAAGTTGGCTCTCGTCCTGTGGACGTGCCCAATCCAGGCCAGAATTTGACAGTTTCCCGCGATCTATCAGGTAAGTTGAACCTCTTGGAAGATTTTCTAAGCATCTAAGCAGTCCTAGGCACGGTTTGGGTGGGTTTTCGAGCACGCAGAGGGGTTTGATTCCACCCGAGAGGCGGTGATATTTCGGCGACTGTTCTGGCGAAATCTCGCGACAGCTTGTTGCGCCTAACTTCCTCAACAAGTAGTGTTCGCAGATCGCATGTAACGGCGTTCATGTCGGCTCTAGGTCCAATATTTACCCTCCAGATTCCAACACAGACCTTCAGCGTCGCGATTGTTGTCTTATTCGTGATCTGGACGTGTTTGTTGTCGCGTAAGCTCGGCGTCTTGTCGTGCCGCGCCCCTAGTGTGGTGTTGGGGGAACACCCGGAAATAAAGTCAGACAACATCCCCACAAGGCTGACCCTGACTACCAGAGTACCGTACGGGGCGTGCAAGATCACAGCCATGAATTAAACATGTCATCCAGTCTACTCAAACTGTGGTTAACATGTCATACTCATCAGTTAGTCGGCTGGACATTCGCTAACATGATCAAGTTATTGAAGAAAACGTTAACCATGTTGATTAAATCAACACCAAAATTCACGCCTACTTGTAACTTCTAATGGTCTTTCACTTTCGCAAGTAACACCGATGTCACCCCTCCAATTTTTAATATTTGACCCTGAAGTCTATATGTATATTTCATATTTACTCTAATTTTTGTGCGTAATTTTTTATGGGTTTGCGTCAGCCGTTTTGTCAGTCAAATATGAAAGCTAAGCCGGTCAAAGGTCAGAAACCGGCTCAGGTATGTTATGTGTGTTGCTATGTGAGCCTCGGGCGTCAAAATATCAGAACGTAAAAGAACCCATCACACTTATGGAGAATAGTATGGGTGTGTTTTGGTCGAAAATACGAGCCGTGACGATGCCGCATTGCTTCAGCACTAGCCACTTGAAAACAACATCATGCTTTTGCCTTGTTTATGTAAAGTCGTGATCTTTCACATTTTCGGTAAAATATTTTTGTGGGGGTGTGACTTATTCGTTTCAATATATTGTAGCACGGTTGAAATTTTGAGGAAAAAAATGATACATGAAGAGAAAACGTTGTATCGTTCATACTCTTATAAGTGTCTGCTGACACTTCAATTATATACTTTCCAATGGCTATTCAATATCCTATTCAAGCCTTGGCTGGGCGCCTGAATACATTCATGCAAAACACAGTTACATAATATACATTGTAGTTGTAAAAGAAGTGAATACATAAAGGGACTGTTTGTAAACCGAATTTTGTTCGTCTATGATCAACATAGGTTAGAAAAGGACTCTCCCCAAGCATTGAAGCAAATGTGCTTCCCCTCTTCCCAAAATCTTACCACCTCTCACAAAATGTTCAAACTTAGGGTTTTCTCTTAGTATTCTCATGAAAATTTGCTGATTTTTCATCAACCGATTAGGGAGCACCTCTCCCCTAATAATTTCTGGGGAGACTCCATGCTGAAGAAAACCCATGGAGCCAGACGTGTAATGTGTATTCTCCAAGCAGATCAGAGGTTGTGGGGGAATGATCGTTAGCTTTTTATAATGGCCGTTTTTTTGTCGCTAATCCCACCAACCGTCGGTGGCCGGCGACCTTCTCTGGCTAATGGATACTGCCTGGCCAATTTGATACTGTCTTTTTGCCACCGAAAGGGATCTGCTTGGAGATATTGGTGATGTGTTCCCGAAGCATGCTGGTTTGTTTGTCGTACATGGGTGTAGGGTAACCGGACTCCTTATCTAGATTTCACCGCTGCACACATCCCGTTTTTACCGGACGTTTAACCCCTAGAGTTCCCTTGTGTATTGGTTCTCCTTGAAGAGAATGTAATCCTGCTTTCTTGCACTTAAAGGCACCAAATGCAATTTTTAGGCCTCGAAAACCTGATTTTTCACAGTTAATATTTTAATCACTTATCTACACACTAACTTGAAACAATGCTATCCTAATGTATATCGACGTACATTCGTGGAGCAAAAATGCCGAAAATTAAAAACAGAAAATTGTTGCTGGAAGGATCCTGGGCTGATTTTTAGGGTACCACCCAGAAAATATAGGACTCATCTTGGGGCTTTTTTTTCTGCAGTTTTAAATGCTCAAGGTATGAAATACTGTTTCAAATGTGCTAATGTGGGATAGTATATGTCAATATCATACCGCCGTATTCGCCGCTTTGAAATTGTATTGGATGCCTTGAAACAGGCTGTCAAATAATAAAAACTAGTATGAAAGGTTAGATTCTAGAGTGATTTGCCAGCGAGATAGTATGGGAGTTCAATTTGCCTCTAGGCTATTCTATTTTCACCCGGTCTGGTCTAGAGTAAGACCGAACATTATGTTTTACTATTGCACATCATAAGATTGTCTTGAATTTGAGCCCATTTTTATATCAGGTGACGAACGCTAGGAAAGTAGGACGTCAATGAGAAACAATTGTATTTTTGTCTTAGTCACCATTAAAACATGGCCAGGGGTGTTCCGTGTAATGCGCACGCCCCCTCCCCTTATTCACGGGGCACCGGAAGTGGAGGGTCGCTTTTTGTTAGTCATTCCTATAGGCTAAATAGAGGACACAAAATTACAAAATATGACTAAGAAAATAGATTATTTGCAAATCTGTAAGATATTTTTATCTAGAGAAGAGAGTTTGTTTTTAGATAGGTTTTATTTTTTGGGCGGCCAGAGGAAAGTTATTTATTAACTATAGATTAAGTAGAGGACACAAAATTAGAGAAAATGGATAAGAAAATATATCATTTGTAAATTTCTAAGATATTTTTATCTAGAGAAGATAGTTTAATGAAGATAGGTTTTATGAGGCTCAAATTTGGGCGGCCAGAGTAAACTTATTTATTGACTATAGACTAAATAGAGGACACAAAATTATGACTAAGAAAATATATTATTTGCAAATCTGTAAAATATTTGTATCTAGAGAAGAGAGTTTGATGAAGGAAGGTTTTGTGAGGTTCAAATTTGGGCGACCAGATTTAAGTTATTTATTGAGACTATAGACTAAATGGAGGTCACAAAATTACAGAAAATGACTAAGAAAATATATCATTTGCAAATCTGTAAGATATTTTTATGTAGAGATGAGACTTTGATGAAGTAAGGTTTTACGAGGTTCAAATTTGGGCGGCAAGAGTAAAGTTATTTATTGACTATAGACTACTAGTAAATAGAGGACAAAAAATTACAGAAAATGACTAAGAAAATATATCATTTGCAAATCTGTAGGATATTTTTATGTAGAGAAGAGAGCTTGGTGAAGTAAGGTTTTACGAGGTTCAAATTTGGGCGGCCAGAGTAAAATTATTTATTGACTATAGATTTAATAGAGGACACATAATTACAGAAAATGAATAAGAAAATATATTATTTGTAAATTTCTAAGATATTTTTATTTAGAAAAGAGAGCTTGATGAAGTAAGGTTTTACTAGGTTCAAATTTGGGCGGCCAGAGTAAACTTATTTATTGACTATAGACTAAATAGAGGACACAAAATTACAGAAAATGACTAAGAAAATATATCATTTGCAAATCAGTAAGATATTTTTATTTAGAAAAGAGAGCTTGATGAAGTAAGGTTTTACTAGGTTCAAATTTGGGCGGCCAGGGTAAAGTTAATTATTGCTAGGATATAACGTAATAAAAATGGAATGTTAAGTCATACGTGTTCAGGCATAGGTCACGAAAATTTGCCCAGCTAAGGCTCACAATGGGGGGGTTAAGTCGTAACCTTGACAGCAATGGAAGTGTTGCATAATGGTGTTGAAAAACTCTAGAGTGTCCTCTGAAATTCCGGGTACAGTCTGTCATTTGAAACATTCCTACTTTAATAGGTAAAATATCTGGGAAAAGAGCAACCACGCAGCATCTGTTCTCCCCCCCCCCATTCAAACTTGACCTTCGACACGATAGATTGATCATGTGATGATATTCTGTATCATAAGTTATTCCACAACTTGCGGTAATTTTATAAGCCATTCCCATAAAAATCTAAACTACCTGTTTCTCTGTCATTTTCAAATACATGTACGTCCAAAACGCCCATATTTGCGAGGGTAAACAACAACCTTGTCAATAATAATAAAAAAACGTATCTGGTCAAAGGTCTATTGACTCGTGCATGAAAGAATTTAGAAACGACAGGCATTTGAAAAGTCAATAAACAATGCTAACCGTCATCTTTCAACGTATTTTGATGGGCTATAGTTGGTCACTGATGGGCAAATAGTTTGTCATATGGTAAGTTAATTGGTTTAGGTAAAGCAGGGCTAGCAGGGTTTAGGTAAAGCTACGTAGTCAAGAAGGTGGTACAAATGACACAAAGTATGTATGGCAAATAATACTATTTTTCAGGTACGTGCAAAATTGCACATTGGCAAAACTTTTACGTGCAAATTATACTTAGTCGGTTTGCAACTGTTTTACCGTGTGTTAACTTCTTATCTTGTCACAGCATACAGGAGTTCCCTTTCCGAAATTAAAAACATTTTATACAGCACTTAAAAAGATTACCAACAGTCTGAGAGCGATAAAAAATTTTATTTTGCATATTTGTTTCCCTTGAAAGATATCGTGGACAACATCTAAAGTAAAATATTCTGCTTATATAGAATATTAAAAGTACAGTTAATTTTTGCTTCTGTGCCTGTAACGTAATTTTTGCTTCTGTGCCATGCTCTGTCGGTGCAGTGCAAATATCATATATCGGTATTTTCTAGGTGCAAAATTGCGCACTCAAAATATTTCTACGAGCAAATCTTGAAAATGATGTGCATCTTGTACACACACATTTCGAGCCCTTTCGGTACAGCATAACTATAGTGCTAACCAACCGACCCAAGGCTGTCTGTGAAGGGTCATGGACATAAGAATGGACGCAACGTTATCTAGTACTGGACGCTGACCCGTTAGAAATAAAACATAAGTACCCGATATTGTTTTTATTAGCACAAGAGCTAAGCATACAT